CATTTGGTTTGTTTACACAGCCCTAGACAGCATCCTTTACACGCCATTTAAACGAATGACATAAATAAATAAAAAAATAAAATGGAAATGAAAATATCGCACCACCTGCAATCGTAATTGGAGTTAGAATAGTTGTTTAAAAAAAAACAACGCGTAAAAGTGGTCAGTTTGGGCAAAAAAAGAGCCTACATGATGGCTTGCTTCGGTGGTGGTTGTTGGAGTTTTCAGCTGAAAGACGTTTGGCTTCTGTTAGTATTTCTCTACAATTTACCAACAGAAATTAGGCGGAAAGTGCACTAAATTCACTTGAAGGGAACAAAATGCAATGCTCACAATGGCAGGACATCACTGAGAGTCTGTGCAAAAGTCAAAGCAGTCAGAAAGTGGTTTTTTCCTGAAAATCATAAAAATCCTTTCCTACACCTAGCAATAAACACTATTGCACGTAAATTAAACTTTTATTCTTTTAGAGTTGCAGTAAAGATTAACGCCACAGTAGAAGTGAATACAAATTGTGCGGGCAGGAAGGTTGAAGTAGCCGATGGCAATCAGAAGGTCAACTACTGAAGGTTGTTGGAAACGCTACTAGAAATTTGCAGGTGGGTTGATGGAGTGCTTTGCTTTACCTGAGTTTTGGTTGAAGAGTGTTGAAAGTGGGCCGTAGGAGAGGATCAGGCATCCAGCATTCCAGCATTAGACGGTAGTGACTGACAAGACAAGTATCCGGTCGTGCCAATCGTTCGCCTCGTCCAATCGCGGCAACTGCCTCCGCGTTGGAGGTGTTGTGGAAGGGCTTGAGGCCAAAAGACAGGATCTCCCACATGCATACACCTACTCAACCAAAAAAAGAGGTGCTTTGAAGTTTTCAAGTCCTCCAGTCGATGTAGACGTTATGGTCGACGTTGGAGAGGGCTTATTGTAAAAAAAGCCTATTTGACGGCGTGAGCTCTTCAACCATCCCAGCTTCCCACCCGTCAACTTTACTAATAACACGATTTTAGTACGACAGCCGTTTGTTAACAAGAGTTGTCAACCCCTTTGTTGCTTGAAGCAACCTATGCAAAGAGATACAATTTACAGAGATCGAGAGAGATGCCTTCGTAGCGACACGCACGTCACAAATGGGAAAATGAACTGCCACTGGTTGATGGTTGTTTAAATCGTGCTTGACAGAGGAGAGGCGCGAATTTGCTGTCTTTACATTTTTGCATGTATCAACGCAAAAAAATGCCCAATAAATCTTCGTCAAACAAGGCGGGGAGAGTGGAGTAATGGGGAATTCATAGTGATGATGCGTCGGGCACTTGGGGTGTCGTATTAATGCTGTTATGTTCATGTACAATTGAGACTTTACATTTGTGTATCTCAAAGCCATATTTTAGGAGTCAATGCACATATTTTGGGAAGTAGGTGTACCGTTTTGCCTACCGACACGAATCGCAGCCCATGGAGCAATAAGGCGCCTCCCAGGAATTGAAGTATCGGGAGGCTGTCTGTCTGTCTCTCTCTTTCTCGACGGTTGAAATTCACAAGATTGTGGAATAAAAATAAATACATTAAAAAGACTTGAGGAGATTGATGACTGCACTTTAAACGTTGTCCTTTGAGTTAAACAGTCGTACAGAAGCCAATGTTTCCATGAGGCTTCAAAGTGTTACAAGTGAGTTGCTGCACCCCACAACTAGCTCCCCCAAAGCTACTTTAGCTGATGCAATTCACCTTTTGTAAAACAATCCCACCATTCCTATTTCTTCATCTACTTTTTTAACAGCTCATTCCCTTTTGACGGTTATTTTGTGGTGCCAGGATAAGGAGGTGGTAATTGGGAGTGGAAAAATTAATTACCTTTCAACAATTGTATGACATAAATCAGTCTAACGGTAGTAAAAAAAAAAAAACAGGAACAAAAAGTTGTTCACTGCCTTTTTGAAGCAGCGCTTCCACTATGAGTGCCTTAAAAAATGTGAGATTATGGGTAAGTAGGTGTGAAAATGCTGACTGACAACATTTCAGTCCACCTGATGCCTAAAAAAAAACAAGCAGCATACGAAGACCTTTCAATCCCTCACGAGGCGTGGAAATCACTACAATTATTCTTGCCTAGTGTTGTAATCGCGTCAATTTTAGTGACAGTTTTGTAAACACGAGGGCATAAAAGAGGTCAATCAGTGCCACACTGCGTCTCCGTTCGCCAAGAAGGGACCAAGTAAGGGACAGTTCTCAAAGAAGAGATAATGGAAGCGCAGTTGGGTACACACCTGTCCATAGCTATTTTATGAAGGTCCCTTCCAGTTCCATTCATTGATGCATGGAAAAAAGTATCGTAGAAGGACATAGGAAGAAGGATATGGTGGTGCAAGAAATTGAACAACTCACCAAACATCCAAACATCTGAGGCTGAACTGAAAACTCTTGATTTGAGGCTTTCTGGTGCCATCCATTTGATTGGCACCTTCCCACCCTGCTCGGCTAAAAGGATGAAATGGAACGGCTTAATGAAGTTACCTACTGCGAAAGCATGCACAGACCACAGGGAAGAACAGTTGGACGTCTCACCCACGTAGCAATCCTCGCCTTGTGCCAACTGCCGTGCCATTCCAAAGTCAGCCAACTTTACACACGTATCGTTGGCCACGAGGACATTTCGAGCAGCCACATCCCTGGTAGAAGAGGCATTAAAAAACAGCGGAGGAGGAGAAGGAGGAAATGTAAAGTGGGAAATCCTCCATAACACAATTAGCTCCTGGAGGTACTACCTCCAATGCACTTGAAAGTTGTGCTGTGAAAGTCAGTAAGATATCGTTTGCACACCAAATACCTTTAATTTTAGCAGCATGAGCAAGTTGTGGTGCTCTGGACACTGGTTTGACGACCATTTACAAGGGATTCTCGAGCGGTTCCGATTATACTTCCCTGTGGAGAAGGTCGTGCTGCTCTAAACGGGTGGACTGATTTCAAGGCCATGCCAACAGATCAAGCATTGCACCTTTTCTCCTCTTCAAGGCAGTCAAAACGGCTTTTAGTCGGTACCACCTTGTAGCACATCTAGGTGGTGGGGGGAGGCGGAGGGGTTGAATGGCTGTGAGAGAAAAGTCTCCCGATTGTTCAATGGACATGTTTGCAAACCCGATTCTTGAGGGTGTTTGAACGGTTTCAGGACAAAAGCAACCTCTCACCTACCACCATTCATGACATATAAAGTTGTACAAAATTGATAGAAGTACCATTTATAAGGCTAGCAATAAAAGCTTACAATGCCATTTTGCCTAGGCGCATGAGGTAGTTCAAGTTGGTCACAAATCAAATGAACGTCGTTGTGAAGGCAGAAGCTGATGAGGATCCACCCAGTTACTATATTTAGGCTTTAACGGTAGCAGAAAATCAGTAGTCCACAGAGGTGAAGGCAAGCACAAGATTTTCCAAAGGCAGCATACCATTTTTTTTACCCCTCATAGTCAAATGCACCAGTCGTGAAGTTGTAATTTCGCTACTTTTCTAAATTTAGCCTTGTCCAAACCTCCGTTGGCCGCCTTCACTCCCCCCCTCCCCTTCTCCTGCAAGAATGGCTCCCATCAAAATGAATTTTCAGTTGGAAGGAGCATTTTGCACGACAGAAAATGAAAAAAAAGATAGCACACACCTACCTGTGGACGATTTTAAGCGCCTCAAGGTACGCCAACGAGGAGGCAAGTTGGTGGCAAAAAGTAACAAGAGTTGCAAGAACAATTCCTCCCTGTCGTTCCATTAGGTAGTGTCGAAGCTGGATTTGAACAATAAAAGAGCACACAATCAGCGGGGTCCATTTTTCTTGTAATTTTGAAACCACCTTAAACAGCTACTGGACATTTGCTTGGGGAGAGGGAGATGGGAGCGGTTCACTTAACTAAGGTTCCATTTTTCTGTCACCTCTAAGATGGAGCAGTTCGTGATGGACTAAGACTGGAAATTTTTTACGTCTAACGTAAGTTTACCACTAAAATCGAGCATTTGGGTGCGAAATTAAGTCGAGTAGACCTTCGAAATTATGCATAAAGTAGAAAATGAGGGATATGGGAGGAGGAGGGATCATTAAGACGTAGTAGAGGACACAGCAATGCACCTATTTTTACTTTCGATACAAATGGATCCTTTAATGGGTTTTTTTGGGTAGCCAAACTAATAGGCATGAGTAAATGAAGGGAACGGAAATGTCAAAAAAGCAGAACTTTGCCAACTTCCATGACGATGAGCACTTAGCACGGGAAATCATTAAGAAGCGACTGGGATTTTCTGGTGTTATCTTACAAATGATGGCTGTCTGAAGACTTCTTAGACTGAAAGTAATTTGGAGAAGAAGAGGACCACCTTGAAGACACCATTTTTTTTCTGAATTTGAAGCACCTTTTACGCTACTAGCAATGTAAGTGACAGCTGTTTTTGTTCTTGTATCACATGGTCCAGAGGTGGTTACAGTCAGAACTGCTTGTAAGGGCTTGTAAAATGTCGATACAACTTGAATTGTCATGCTTCCTACCCCTTTCTTCTCATTGTCCATTCAACCTAAGGCAATTTCAGCGTACCTACTCTACAAAAATGGCATTGTGGCACTTCATTGAATGCCGAAGTCTCTCATTTCCGCCTTGTACAGAAGGTGTGTGTGTGTGTCGTATCAAACCACATCCTTCGGAGGCGCCTTCAGTTAGTCTACTTGGCGGAGCAGTCAAAGGTCGTCCACCTTCCACAATCCTACACCGTCGATGCCATCACGAGGGCCATTTCAGCAAGTCCATTGTTTATATTACCCTCATCAACCGAGATGGAAAAGCCAAGTGGATTTTATATACAATCGTCTGAGCCACAAGTCGTTGGAGTTGGTCACTACATTCTTCCAAAAACCTCGCAAAGTGAATGGACGGTACACGAGCCTTGAATAGCACCACGCTCCCCCGCAAATTGATATTGTCAGCCCTCACGCCAACAACTCGGATTTCAACCTCTACGCCTCCCTCTCACAACGCCCACCTTCCAGTTATTATCATTGCTTTAAACCGAAGTTACACAATTTGGGACAATCTGCTGACCCAAACTGGTAAACAGCACACAATTGCGTCAGCATACTCAAATGCGCAAATGAGTGCCCACATATTAAGGACATCAAATAAATCTACTCTACACTTTTTAGAACTCCAAACAACTCCCATTGTATCGTTTGCACTTTCCTCAAGGACGTTGTAATGTCTTGTTGACGTGACCGGTGGTCAACCTGGTGCTCACCTTCCGCCTCGCCATGTCAAAGGCTCACGGCCTCCCTTTCCACCCACCGCCTTCTGCTACCAAAAGAGCGATCTCGTGGCATTACAAACGCCTTGCATATACTTCAAAGACACTTTAAGTAATTTTTTTAAATAAGAAAGGCTACGAAAGGATTCTAACAACTCACTTCTCCCTCTCCAGCAAATTCAAGCACCAACCAAACCGGTTCATCTCGACACGCACCATAGAGCTTTATAATGTGCGGATGTATCAACTTGGCGTGAAGGTCTACGCAAAGAGATAGAGAGGGAAAAAAGCTAAAAAATAGCAACAAAGCCCTTACAAAAGTCCTGTACCAGTAGTAATGCACCATTATGCCACAAAATACAAAAGTTCACACCCTTTCCACAACCCTAAAGTCCTTTCATTCGTCAATTCGCACTTGTTCTTTGTGTGGTCTTTCACTTCTTTCACAAAACAATACCCTTTTTGTGCATCAAATTTTGCAAAAATTTGAAAAAGGCAAAAGTATTATGACTTAGATATTATCTTGCATGAGAAGAGCAGCTTTTGAGTGCCTGTCACGAAGCC